GTTTTAAAATCCGATATTCTGATATATCAGCCGATATTTTTTTTTCTTTCAGAAACGTGCAACAAAACATTAACAGATTTCCCTAACGTTAGTTATTTGTAGTTATTTATGAGTTTATCTAAAATAATATGATAATGCATTTTAAAAAGAAACTTGTTTCTTTTAGTCACAACAGAACAGACTGATGAGAGTGGCATTAGCTAGCTTTATGGTTAGCTAGTCTATGATTAGCAATGGATAACGTCATACTGCAAATTGTAAAACATACATTTTCAATATAACAGGCCAAGCAGAGATGATGCGTCTCATTGCTATAACTGTCACGCGCTATTAAAGAAATACTTCAGTCACATTGTCAAAAAATAAAAGGACAGTCAGTCGACTACACTGTAACAACGTAACGTAACTATTACTAGCTAATTCCGCTTCACTCTCGGCTTATTTAACAGCAGCAAAACTGGACACGATAGTCACAAATGTTGTCCTGCTTATTTGAGTTGAGAGAACTGATGCGGATGATCTTTTAATTGTTATTCAAGCAATGTATGTATCATGACCAACTCAACGAGTGTAGCCAACAGGAACGGTGTAGAGTGCCCTCTGGTGGACAAACTATACATCTCCAACACTCGTGACATGGTTCAAGCGTGTTTCGTCCGTTTTTATTTTATTTTTGAAATATTGATTTATCGGCCATTATAACTGCTGATACCGATAGTTTGGAAAATGCCTAATATCGGTCTGGCTCTAGTCAGGTGTTTTGGAGAAGCTCGTCCCTGATGTGAGTGATCTCACCCGGGGTTTCGTGGCTCCTGGGGGCCGCTGCCCTGCAGTTTCTTCACCAGCATCTCACTGCTGCGGCGCAGCGCTTCCCGAATCTTCCCGAACGAGCCGCTCCTGCGCAGGGCGCCGTTGCCATCCTGTGCCCGGGAAACATGACCAACTTCAGGCTTTATATACATATATATATATTTCAGTATCAATATGTATATGTATAATATGCCTATTAGAGTGATTTCTGAGGGATCATGTGACACTAAAGCTGGAAATGCAGCTTTGATCGCAGGAATAAATTATGTATTACAATAGGAAATGAATATAAAGACACAAACAGCTGCACTGACCCCGGCCCACTCGGCCTCGTCCCCATCACAGTCTCCTCGGGGGCCTCCGGGGCCGTTTACTCCGTCCCGGGACTGACGTCTGTCCCCTCCAGCGCCCCCGCCGTCCTTCAGCAGCTCCACCACTTTACTCTGGTTGATCGCATCAATGCCCTGCCGGACACACACACATTTCACACCGTTTATTTATAAATAAAATACAACACTACATACTAAAATAAGATTAATGAAAACTACAGGTGAAACTTGAAAAATTTTAATATGGTGCAAAAGTTCATTTATTTCAGGAATTTAACTTAAAAGGTGAAACTAATATATTATATAGACTCATTACAGGCAAAGGGAGATATTTCAAGCCTTTATTTGTTATAATGTTGATGATTATAGCTTACAGCTTATGAAAACCTTTTCACAATATTCAAATTTTCACAATAAAAACAAATTCATCATATTCAATAAACAACTATAACAGTATCTCAATGACACTAAAATAACACGGGTTGTCAGTCGATTGAAATATTAATTTGAGATTAATAAAGTAAAGTAAACAGACGAAGTTTAAAAGTTTAATCATTGAGGTATTCTTAACAACGCCCTTCTCTTCCTGTTTGAGTCACGCACAGGAAGTGGATCTCATAAGTTGAGCATCAGGTAGGAAATCCGTGTGCGAGTGTGAGTGTGTGTGTGTACCTGTTTGCGGTTCTTGGTCGCACACTCCTCCAGCGTCTCAGCGGCCTCCAGTTTGCCCTGCCTGCGGTACAGAGCGCCCAGGCTCTTCAGTGTGGTGTTCACCGTGGGGCTGCGCGAGAAACACACACACACACACACACACACACTCAGCACAAGCGGCACTCCGGGACATGCGCTGCGTCCCAAATCACGTACGTATGCACTATCCTAAGCCGTTTTGTAGTATAAATAGTAGTAGTAGTGTCACCGACCCGTAATATCCGTAATATCCTATAATAAACCTAAACTCATCTTGACCAAATATACATCATTTGAAAGCGTACAATCTCTAGGTTCCATATTTGATTTCAGAGGAGCCGTAATTTATCAATTTTTACAACAAATCGCTAAGGCGAACGCTACTGAGCAGCGAGCTGATTGGCTATTGTATGGCAGGAACCAATCAGCTGCGCCCTATAGATAATATGATTATGATCAGGTGAGTGAAGGTCCTATTACCCACACCATCTAGAGTTTCATGACAGACCTTTGCATTAATGAAAATGGCATGTAAACGTGTGTGAAGACGTTTGTTCGTGTCGTGTAAACATCCTCCACACTTTGATACCCAGAATGCCCTGCACACTCACCTGTCCACCTTGCAGGCCTTGTACCAGCTGCCGTACTCTCCGTAAGGCCCAGAGTCCTTTCTCTTGCCCTGAAATGACCATCAGACAAACCCGACTTTTATTATCTCTACAACTTTCTGAAACAAAATCGTCTTAATTATAATGAAAAATGTGAAAATTGGTCAAAAATAATGAATGTGACAAAAAAATGTGATTTATTTTGCCAATTGCTGGTTTAATGTTGTATAAAAATAAAAGCAATGTTATATTGCCTAAATTTTTTTTTTTAATATAATATGGGTAAGTGGATATAAGCAAAACGATTGATGTTGAATTATGAAATGAAAAATTTGGGGTCACCTTTTTATGTTTTTTTATCTTTTCTGTTCACCAACGCTGCATTTATTTAATCCAAAATACAGTAATATTGTGAAATATTATTATTATTAAAAATAACCATTTTCTATTATAATATATTTTAATATGTCATTTATTTCTGTGATCAAAGCTGTATTTGATCAAATCTGAGTCACATGATCCTTCAGAAATCACTCTGATATGATCATCTGCCACTCAAGAAACACTTCTGATTATTATCAATGCTGAAAACAGTCGTGCCGCTTCATATTGTTGTGGAAACTAATTTTTTCATGATTCTTTGATGAATAGAAACCACATTTACAGCCACTTTTGATCAATTTATTACACCCTCGTTGAATAAAAGTAATAATTTCTTATAAAAAAAAAAAAATCCTTATTGAACCCAAACTTGTGTACATTTTTATAAATGTGAATGTAATACCTTGCTCTCCTCTCGCTCCTCGGCATGCATCCAGATTGGCTTGTTGTCATCTAAGAGAAAAACAATATATTCTCATTATAAGCAAAAACCGGCATTGTTTTGTGATTCATTCAAAAGGTTTTGTGTGTTTGTGGCATTTTACTCGGCCTGGCTAGTCTTCTTTCATTGACTATAATTAGCTTGTTGAAGGTTTTAGGAACATCAAGTGGATGTTTGATCATAATCCTGTAAGCGTCTGATTGGCTTAAAGGGCCGCGATGTCACAACAGATGGCCACAGTGAACACGATTAGACAAAAGACCATCAAACATCTCACTCACCATTTCATCCTGACAGAAACTGATAATGAAGACGCCAAAAAAAGTGTGTATTCTTACAGAAACACATTTAATGACCGATTTTCACGCATGCATAATCAAAGCAACATTGAAAACATCTTCCTGAAATGTGTTTTACGAGAGGTACGTACTGTTGACCGAGCCGAACTCTTTCTCATGCGCGCGGGTCAGGATCTCCTTGTAAAGCGTCTCGGCGTCTTTGAACTTGCCCTGTTTCAGGTAACACGTCGCCTGCGGAGGAAAGAGGATCGACATCGGCATCAACATTCATCCTTCTCTCCAGACAAAATTATCGAGCTTGAATGCGCAGTTTCTACAATAGCAATATAGATAGGAAGTACAGATTCATTCTGCTTGCTCTCAACATATAAAAAACTGTTATTTGTTCATATAAAGTATGTAACTTATCTTAATATTATCTTTATTTGACCTTGAATGGCCCACTGAGTGCCTTGAAATAGTGTGCTGAGGTCATTTCCACTGAAACAGGAAGACAGGGCGGGGCATATCGATAAGCTCCTCCCCTTTTAAAGAAGCCAATAGCGTTTAATTTAAATCACAGCTCGTCCAGAGCTCGGTTTCCTCCTAATCTCTCCAGATCACTTTAAAACACAGCATTCAGAGGGTCTGGTATGTTTTCTGGTCTGCGCGACTCGATCACATGATGCGTGTAGCGGCGGTTCACGAACCAGACTTCATTCGCCCCGATGGAAAGCATATTTAACTCTCTGAATCAATCCCTATCCCCTATGTGCCGTTTAGTAAACGTGTGAATGGGGGCGGGGCTTCAGATTCTAGAGAGAATTTCATTGGACAGAAAATCTGAAGTGCAGAGTGATGTAATCAAACTCACTGATCCTTATTTGCGGAAGTGAGCGACTGTACGCTTTGAATGCTTTAATCGTCAGTGAATGTTTTCAAACTAGCAGTAAGGCTAACACATTCATGCTAAAAAAAACTAAGATTTCATGTGGACATTAAAGGGATACTCCACTTTTTTTGGGAAATAGACTCATTTTTCCTCAGTTGAGTTTTACCGTTTTCGAATCCATTCAGCCGATTTTCTGATATTTAGAGGAATGTCAGTTTCTGGTACCATTGACTTCTATAGTATATTTTGTTCCTACTATGGAAGTCAATGGGACCAGAAACTGTCTGGTAACTGATATCCTTCTAAATATCAGAAAATCGTCTGAATGAATTCGAAAACGGTAAAACTGAACTGTTTAACTCTGGGGTAGTTGTAAAATGAGCCTATTTCCAAAAAAAAAAAAAAAAAAAAAAAAAAAGTGCACTATCCCTTTAAGATTGCGAATAACTAATTGAGATTCATTTCTGATTCACTTGCAACATCACACATAATATCAGCCTGTCTGGCCTCACCAGGTTGTTTTTGGTCTTGGCCACGTTGGGGTCGTCGGCGCCCAGTTTGTTCTCGTAGATCTCGAGCGCCCTGCGGTAATAATACTCCACTTCCTCATACTTGCCCTGGTTCTGACACAACAGGGCCAGATTGTTGAGCTGCTTCGCCACGTCAGGGTGGAATTTACCCAGAACCTGCAAACACAGTGTGCGTTAATATAACAACAGTGGCCCGACTGGCGCATCATCATCCTCCGAGCGCGTCCTCCACCTTCTCCCGGATCTCCAGCGCCCGCTTGCACAGCGGCTCCGCCTCCTTGTGTTTCCCGCGCTTGCCGTACAGCACGGCCAGGTTGTTGAGCGTGGCGGCGACGGCCGGGTGATCCTTCCCCAGGGTTTTCTCTCTGATGGCCAGCGCGTCGTTCAGCAGGTGAGCCGCCTCCTTATACTTATTCTGATCCCTGGGAAAACACGCGGGAAGTCATGTGACGACGGAGAGGTAGAGCACTACATGTTTACTTGTGACGGCGGGAATTGTTGACCTGTGTGCTTCTCCGATGGCGCGTTAGCATCCACATTGATCATCTTTTTCTCTACTTTTGGCCTTCCGTCCGCACTGACACAGCGTTTTTATTAATGAACACAAAGCTTTTTGGAAACGGCGTTTTCGCGTTGTAGTGCGGACTGTGAAGACGTAAAAGGTACTTGAAAAAGACGATGCATTTACTCGAAGGGAAGACGTAGATATTTCCCTGCGGTTCGGCCTCTCATTTACACTTTACACGAAAACCCTGTTTTTAATCACAGAAAACAATTATTTCTAAAAACTTTTTATGGTTTTTATGTTCTCAAACGTCACATTATGAGCGCCCAGTTTGGCAGAGTTTTGATGCTGTAAATGTGGGTTGATGTAAATGACAATGATGTTGTGCGCACAATGTTATTATTGAAAACGTGTAATGTGTAAATGTGGCCTGTCATGTGACGCATAAGGAACCCATTAAAGGAGTAGTTCACTTTAAAAAAAAAAAACTTTTGCTGATGATTTACTCGCCCCCATGTCATTCGAGATGTCCATGTCTTTCTTTCTTCAGTCGAAAAGAAATTAAGGTTTTTGATGAAAACATTCCAGGATTTTTCTCCATATAATGGACTTCAATGGGAACCAAACGGTTCACGGTCCAAAAGACAGTTTCAGTGCAAACTGTTCAAAGGGCTTTAAACGATTCCAGACGATGAATAAGGGTCTTATCAAGCGAAACGATCGCTCATTTAATAAATAATTAACAAAGTTTTATATAAGCTCAAATGTTCGCCTTGCTCTGTTCTGTGATGCGCGTTTGTGACTCTCCTGTTCAAACTCGTTTATCAAAATGAACGATTCTTTTTTCGAGTCATTTGTTCGATTGAACGAATGAAATCAACCGATTGAGTCAGAAAAAGATTCATTCATTTTGATAAACGAGCGCTCGTTGAATGCTCACCACAGAACAAGGCGAGCATTTGAGGTTATAAAACTAGAAAATTTGTTATTTATTTATTAAATGAGTGATCGTTTCGCAAGATAAGACTCTTATTCATTATCTGGTGTCGTTAAAAGCCCTTTGAACAGTTTGTACTGAAACTGTCTTTTGGACCTTGAACCGTTTGGTCCCCATTGAAGTTCATTAGATGGAGAAAATCCTGGAATGTTTTCATCAAAAACCTTAATTTCTTTTTCGACTGAAGAAAGAAAGACATGGACATCTCGGATGACATGGGGGTGAGTAAATTATCAGCAAAAGTTTATTTTAAAGTGAACTACTCCTTTAATGAACACAAAGCTTTTTGAAAAAGTGGATAAACTTGAAGACGCTGTTTTCGCATTGTAGTGTAGACTGTGAAAACGGACACATTTGAAAACGATGACGCATGTTTAGTCATGTGACGCATAATGAACCCATATGTAAACACATGTTTTTGTCAGTGTTGTGGCTGTTATGTGCTGTTCACTTTCACACTGTTGCTAAAATATGTTACTCTGCTGCACACTCTTCATATCACAGTCCTGACAGAAAATTATTTAAAGCCAACAAATTAATATATCATTCACATTTTGTCATTGTGTGCAATTCAAATGTTTATAAACAACCCAGTTTTTATTTTATTGTTGATTATTGAATAAATTTGCTTACTTGATTGTTACATTTTATTGATTTTGTCCAGTTTGGGTTTTTGGCTGAATGAAAACATTGGTGTTTCAGTGCGTCAGTAATGTTTTCAAGCTTGACCAGAGGGTAAATTCGAGTAAAATCACAGGCTTCACTTATCCCGTGTTAATCAGTGTGTGTGTGTGTGTGTGTGTGTGTAAAATTCAGCAGCATCTCTGACCTGTACACCAGCGCGAGGATGTTGAGCATGGTGGCCACGTCGGGGTGGTCGTGTCCCGAGGTCTTCTCCAGGTCCTCCAGGGCCTGTTTGCAGAGCGGCACGGCCACCTCGTAGCGGCCCTGAGAGGCGTACTGGATCACCAGGTTGTGGAGGGTTCGGAGGCGGGCCGGGATCTCGTAGCCCCCTTGCTGCGCCGCCGCTTCACCACTGGGCTGAGCTGGAGAGAGAGACACGGGTTCACCCAAAAATGCATTTTTGCACCAAATCACATTGAAAATGAAGGACGTCCGGGACTTTGATGCTCTCTTAAAGGGGTAGTTCACTTTTAAAAAAACTTTTGCCGATAATTTACTCACCCCCACGTCATCCGAGATGTCCACGTCTTTCTTTCTTCAGTCGAAAAGAAATTATGGTTTTTGATGAAAACATTCCAGGATTTTCTCCATATAATGGACTTCAATGGGAACCAAACGGTTCAAGGTCCAAAAGACAGTTTCAGTGCAAACTGTTCAAAGGGCTTTAAACGATTCCAGACGATGAATAAGGGTCTTATCAAGCGAAACGATCGCTCATTTAATAAATAAATAACAAAGTTTAAGTTTTATAAGCTCAAATGCTCGCCTTGCTCCGTTCATGACTCTCCTGTTCGAACTCGTTCATCAAAATGAACAAGTCTTTTTCCGAGTCAACTCGTTCATTTCGTTCGTTGACTGAACCAAATGACACGAAAAAAGATTCGTTCATTTTGACGAACAGGAGAGTCACGAAAGCGCATCACAGAACAGAGCAAGGCGAGCATTTGAGCTTATAAAACTTAAACTTTGTTATTTTATTTATTAAATGAGCGATCGATACGCTTGATAAGACCCTTATTCATCGTCTGGAATCGTTTAAAGCCCTTTGAACAGTTTGCACTGAAACTGTCTTTTGGATATTAAACCGTTTGGTTCCCATTGAAGTCCATTGTATGGAGAAAAATCCTGGAATGTTTTCATCAAAAACCTTAATTTATTTTCGACTGAAGAAAGAAAGACGTGGACATCTCGGATTACGTGGGGGGGAGTAAATCATCAGCAAACGTTTTTTTAAAAGTGAACTACTCCTTTAAGTGTCACACAGCCGTCTTCATGAAGCGGCGCTCTCTCTCACCTGGCCCCTGGTCGTCATCGTTGGGGAAGAGGTCGTCCAGGTTGTCCTTCTCCTTCTCTCCGGGCTTCTCCTCTGAGGGCGAAGTGTCGTCGTCCAGCTTGCGGATCTGGTTCATGAACTCCAGGTGCTTCTTCTCCTCCTCCAGCTGTGCGACGCTCTGCTCGCTCTTCTGAAGCTTGTGCTGGGTGCCGGCCAGCTCGTCCCGAAGCCACTGGTTCTCCTGGCAGAGCCGGCGCACCTGAGCGCGCAGCTTCTGCTTCTCCGACTCCACGGCGCTCAGGTGACCCGACAGGGCGATGATCACCTGACACGGTCATACTCAGTTATTTTCTTCTAGACACAAACTGTGATGCACTATTTTCCTGTTATCTGTGTAAAGCTGCTTTGAAACACTCATGAAGATGACTCGACACGATTTGATTTTCTGCTTTGGGTTTAAAGGGAGATATAACAATCTTCATAACTATTCTTGTAAATTATTTAAAAAAAAAAAGGGGGAAAAGTCCGTAAGAATGAGTTGAAAACTGCATGTATATCCAGGTCCGTGGGTCCTTCATCCCAGTCGCAGTGTCATGTTTTGCACTATAAACATTTCTTATCTATTTATAATTTTGTGTCACCTCCAACTGTGCAATGCTACTTCTATTTATTTGCATACTTATTTGTATATTTGTGTTTGTAGTCTGTATGTTTACATAAGGTTGGTTATTGTGTGAATACAGTTGTTTTATTATTATTATCATTAATATTATAATTCATTTTACTGTATCATATTCCTATATTTTGTATTTTACTTGAGCTGCTGTAACAAAAGGAATTTCCCCAGTGTGGGATTGATAAATATTATATATATATATATATATATATATTAAAAAAAACTACACAAAAACAACTTAAAATATGAAAAAAGCTTAATTTATATATGGGGGAAAGTGTTTAAAAAAACAAAAATTTAAAATACATATTAAATAATAAAGGGATATAACAAACTTTATAACTATTCTTGTAAATTGTTTAAAAAAAAGTGGAAAAGTCAGTAAGAATGAGTTGAAAATTGCATATATATATATATATATATTAAACGAAACAAAAACTACTTAAAATATGAAAAAAAAGCTTAATGTGGGGAAAGTGCTTTTTTAAATAACTTTAAAATACATATTAAATAATACACACAAAAATACCATGATAACTGTAAATAAACATGAAAACGTTATGAAAATAAAATTAGGAAATATTTTTTTTCTAAAAACATTTATAATTTTAAATGCATATATATATATATATATATATATATATATACACACACACACACGCATGTTTGTTTTATGATTTTCAAACCCTTTTTTATTCCTTTTAAGAAGTTTCCAAATTTGACATTTTCTGCAGTAAATTCTCTGCTTTCCACTTATAAACGTAATAGCATAACTAATTGGAGTCAAATTACCCATTCATTTTAATCTTTAATAACTATATATTTGAATAAATATATTTTAAATTTAAAATGATAAATGTTATTTTTGATTTGAATATCTATATTTGCATTGAAATGATCAGAAGTGTGACCCTTTTTCTCGAAGTTTCCAAATGTGACGTGGACTCATGAAAGCGACCGCACGAGTAGCCGGGTTCAGATGTGCCATACACACACAGTGTGGTGTGAAGAGTACCTGCGCCTCGCCCAGCCCCAGCTCGATGTCCTGCAGGCTCTTGCGGAGCAGGCTGGACTTGTCCTGCGCTCCGGCCGGCTGGGAACAGTCCAGGATGGAGTTGAGGAGCGTAGCGTGTTCCCCGCGCAGCGTCTCCAGACCCTGCATCACCGCTTTGGTGTTCAGCACGATCTCATCCTGCGTGAGCCGCTCCAGAGCCTCTTCTCGAGGGTACACCATAGTGGACATCACCCGCGGGACGCCCGCTCGCTGCCGGGACACACACAACAGAGGCATGTGGGGTTAAACTGGCAGCGTCGGGGAAAGTCGTGCGTTCAAATATTGCGCTACTCCCAGAAATAACAAGCTAATTGTGTTACTTACACTCTAAAAAATGCTGGGTTAAAAACAACACAAGTTGGGTTGAAAATGGACAGCGAATGGGTTGTTTTAACTCAGCGGTTGGGTTAAACGCTTGTCCAACCTGCTGGGTACCGTAGTTTTATTTAACTCAACTATTGTTTAACAATGACTGTTTTGTTTGCTTAAAATGAACCCAAAGTATGTTGAAAATTAACTAGGTTTAATAAATTAATAGCCTATGTATGTATTAATAAGTTTACTAATTAAACAATAAACATTTAATTGCTTAAGTTATTAATAAATGTTCACCTTTTGATTATTATTGTTGCCTCTAGTTATTATGTGTCGGTTTTTTAATTTCTAACCTATTTTCCGTTCATTTTAAGCTAGTAATTTTTAAACAATAGTTGGGTTAAAAAAAACTGTCCAGCAAGTAGGGCAAACATTTAACCCAACCTCTGGGTTAAAACAACTGAATCGCTGACATAATCAATTTTTTAACCCAACTTGGGTTGTTTTTAACGCATTATTTAATGAAAAGTAATGGATCACATTACATTAGCGTTACTTTTTCTCACCTGGGCTTGCTTGTTTTTATTAAAAAAAGTTATATTGTTGTAATATGTTAAGGCCCTTTCACACCAGAAGTGAAATGAATAAGCCTCAGGAAATGGAAATGCATATTTACGCCTGTATATGATATATGATATACAGTACAGGAGAAGGAAGTTCACCTCTCTTATTTCTAAATCTACAGTAATTTTTTGCCGATTAGTATGTCAGAATTAGATCATTGAAGGTCGGCAGCAAATACATTGGATAATAAAGTACAAATAAATACATAAAGTATATTTGTGCCATTTAATATAGTTAATTATCAAAGTTTTGCGTAAAATTCTGACATGGCATTTTACTGTTTACTCATTTTGAGGAATACTGAATTTTTTCGTGGGATTAGTAGAATAAAAACTCAAATAAACATGTTTACATAGCGAACACCTCACTTTATTTCTGAGCTGTCCATCAATAAATGTGAAAAAGTAACTTGGATGTTTTGTTGTAAATTGAAAAAGTAATTTGTTATTTTACTAGTTACTTGAAAAAGTAATCTGATTACATAACTTATAATGAGTTTCCCCCCAAAACACTATTTATAAGATCCATACAATCGAAGTTATCGGTCATAACACAGGCTCTTGGACATCAGGATGATCACACAGCCAATCTGGCAACAAAAGAGTCCTGCGCCCCAAACACAGCAGTGCCAGTAACATAACAGTCATCAGAGATTCGGATCAAATCAACACACGCCTGAGGAACTTCATCAGGGGTTCCTGATGAACGAAGGCATTCACTGTTCGACAGTTTAATTACTTACAGCTCATTTAAACTAGTGTACTACCAAAACAGAAATGTGTGAAGATATCATTTAAATGATTCAAACTTTCAGAGATAGAATTGATTTTTTTTTTTTTTGGTAGTTTCTGAATCTAATTTACTAACTTGAACTAAGTTAACATTACATTCAGTGGTTTACATTTTGAAACCAATCAAAAACATGTGTACTTAAGATATGTATCATGTTTTTCCATTAAATGTATAGAGTTTTTTTGTAATAAATGAAGACTTAAATTTAAATAAATTATACAACATTACAAAATGTTACATTAATTGCAATTTAAGAGGAGAGAGAGAGACGTAAAATTCCTAACACAATAATGCATAAATAGCATTATTTATGGCAACTTATGCCATTATTTATGGCAACCAGGGCAACTTATGACAAACATTATTTATAGCAACTTGTGCCCTTATTTAAGTCGTAAGTTGCCCAGGTTGCCATAAATAATGGCATAAGTCACCATAAATAGGCCTAATGCTAGTCATAAGTTGCCCAGGTATTCCATGAACAAAGTTTGTATCCATCCACCTTTATATGAATTAATTTTAATAACATTAAGAACATTTTATGTTGTAAATGCTATTAAAATAGTGATATTTTAATGTTATGATATTTTATTTCAAAATATAGTAGTTTGATTAACATACATGCGAATTGTATATATATATATATATATATATATATATATATATATATATACACAATCAAGCAAGTATATGTTCAATGTATAAGGTAATAGGAATCGCAGTAATAGGATTTCAAGGCTTTTATTACATTTCAAACAAACAAAACCCCATCGCTGTGTGTGTGTGTGTGTGTGTGTGTGTGTGTGTGTGCAGTTCCTCCGGCGTCCAGCAGAGGCGCCCTTCACACGCCTATAGACTGCAATGCAGCAACACAGAGGACAGTCCCACATCAAAACACAGCGTATAAACACACATCTGATCAGATCACACACCGCCTCCTCATTCTCACGAGCTGTGATAATGACTGACACATGCCTGGAGTAATCAGGAGAAACCTGGAAAAATCCACCAAGGTCAACAACACATCCCTGATCTCAGATCAGATTCTGCACAGCGAGCACAAACAGGCCCAATGTGAACCAAACACACACTGCTATGGGTCATGCACACACTTATTATCATCATGCAACTGCCTCACATCCTCCATCTTGTACTCTCACATAACAATGTTTGAGAATGAATAACGCATATTTAGATTCATAACCCCAGAAATATTCATTGCATCATCATCATCATCACCACTGTCTGGAAGATGAGGACAAAGTCACTAAATGATCAAGAGTCCTCTCTTTGTCTGAACAAATTATGATGTAATATTTATTTATAGACATAAACAGCATCCTCGTGTTAAATATGAGCTATTGTTTTTAGCAGGTCAGGCTAAACTTTCTTCCCCCATTCAAACCTTAACTCAGTTTAGCATCCTATTGTGTGATCACTGCGAGAACATCCCATCAGCAACTAAAGCACAGATCATCTGTTTATTTAAGACACGTACCTTTTAATATCCGGGTGTTTTCAAGCAGAACTCGGTCGTGACTCCTAATGAGAAGTTATGGATTCAGACGCGTCCAAACGTCCAGACTCGCTCCAATAATAAACTGATTTGAGCCTTATGAATCAGAAGAATTAATGAATTAATGAATCCCCCTGCGGAGACGCGCTTGTGTCTGTGACGCGCTCAGCAAAACAAACGTCCGTGCGCGCGACCCGCTTTCTCTTCGTCCATCCTTCTCGTGTCTCAGCTCGACAGATGCGGGATCTTTGTGTTCAACTGAGAGAGGATGAGCACAGCGAACTGAAAATGGCTGATGTGTGTGTTTGTGCTCCCAGAATCCAAAGCCCCGACGCGCGCTGACATCATCACACCGCCCTCCCTAAAGCGGGCGTGGACGCGCTGTGTGTGTGCGCGCGTGCGAAGGCCCGATGGAGGAATATCAATATTCATAATAAATAGGCCAAATTACGTTTTTGTCCGGTGGCACTTTACAAAAAGGTTCATTAGTTTGTGTAGGCTATAACTAACATAGAATAACACCGAGCAATACATTTGTTGCTGAATTTATTAATCTTTCTAGTTGTTCACAGTGCATTTACTGTTAGTATACGTTGAAATTAATATTAAATAAGATTAATAAATGTTGAAGATATTGTTCATTCTTAGTTCATGTTCACTTTCTTCTAAATTATGCATCTAAAACATTGCATTTTTAAAAAATATATCCAAAATTATCCTATTCATATAGATTTCAAGTACAATAGGCCTACATATTTTGACAGCCTTTAAAATGAGTTTGTACCTCCACTTCAGTACCATAATAATATTAGTTTGATACCCATTCTGAAGGTTTTTACTGAGGGATTTGTTTCTAAAATGACCTAACAATGACACACATGTTAATGTTTGTAAGAGGTTGATCTTGTGCATTAATACTAAATATCTGGTCAATTACATACCAGAATATTGGAATAGACTATTAAGAGTTTGTTTTATTAGATCTTTTTTGTGTCTATACAAATGCAACATAGTTTTAGAAAACAGCGTTTCAAAATATTTAAACTTGGCTTAATTCAAACTTGTTGTTTTCATAATTACAATATTGTCAGTATATTAATATATTGCCTAAATGTACTGTGATATATCTATTTGTGAAATATTTTACTCGCTAACAGTTATTATTAATCATAAGAGGGCAATGCAAGTGACAAAAAAAATAATAATAATATTCACACTGCATTAATCTGCACTTATTTTGTTCAGAAATCCACAATCACAAGGAAATATACAAATCAGGTGTGTTTATTAAATAAAAAAAACACGAATACAAGTAACACTTTCACTGTCCATACCACATCTATTGATTGACAAACTCAATTATGAAAAAGCAGTACTACAAAACATATCAAATAAAAAAATAACACGATAAAGGAACATGAGTTCATATTACAAGCACTTTGGATATGTACAAGCATTTTTGTCTAAAGGCAAAAAGGCGAAGAGCTGAAGACTGCTAAAAGATAATAACGAATGTGCAAAAATACTCAGCTCGGCTTCGTCATCTTCATCACGTCGAAATATCACACGGTGTGTGTGTTTTACTCTTTATTTTACACAGAAAGCCGAATCCGCGAGCTCGTGATATTCAGGAATACGCTGACAGAAAAGACTTGGTGACGACAGCCATTCTGATTGGCTGTTGGGATTATTCGACCAATCAGAATGCCGGAATTCACTTGATGCGTTCTGTAGAAATTTCACGTGACGAATCAACACGGGTACACAGAGGTACGACTCACTCCACACAACACACACACACATAAACACAGTCGATGTTTCCATTGACCAAAACTAGTAGCCGTTTAAAACTCTTTCGTTTAATCATGAATTCAGTACTTGACCGTCCCGTTCCAGACTGTAAACACTGAGAATCATTTTCCACACATACAAAAATCACGAACAAAAACATAAACGTAACAGCTGACAGACTTTGGCAGTGACACTTATTTTGCCCCTTCGAGAAACATGTAACGTTATCCATATAAAATCTAGTTTTTTCCCTCCCTCACGAAGTTTGCTGCGAGTTTTTGTGCATTAGCTCATCATGCAAGCTTACAACACAGACATTACAGACGATTGGATTAGTTTGAAGTAAAATTGAGCGCGAGTTTTTCTCTATATATACACTCCACCTCAACAGGGGGTCTTTTATATGAAGGTTTCGAAGCTTGACCCTCAAAATTATGAAATTTATGAACTTTTCAGATCCAATAAGGAATGATCACAGACAGGATTGTGCATAAAAAACCTAGACATCATCGCTGACTGAAATGTTACTGTAAATGTCTTCCAACAAACCTTACAACTAGAATTTAGGTCACAGAGATATGAATAAAATAATAATACACATTAAACATGTACATAAAAACTGGTAAAACATTAAGATTGCATCTATTTGCTATTCTTAAAATGTGGATATTTGTTCAATAGCAGTGTTTATAACCAACGTTAACTGAAAACGTGTGCTTTTCAAGGTTTATTCGGCCTTCTAGGGCTGATGTACATTTCATAAATTCCCACACACTTCAAACCCACTGCTAAAAGAGGGACACATCCAACTGACCCATCTTGACTTTAACACTTTGTTGTTCTTAATACTTAAAACCACAGAAAAAAACTGACACTTTCATCCCAGACAACAGTTTAGAAAGGTCATATTTCACCTCAAAAATCAAAATTATGACAAACATTTGTATTGTAACACATGCTACTGTGATGTATGCAAGTAAAACCTAAATAATTGATACTTTTCCCCACATCACACCATGAAAATTAGACCAATCTGACATGTCTCAAATTTATGTATTTCTTTCTTCTGATTTTGTGGTGAAATATGACTCTTGTGCGAGATTTGAAAGCGAGATAATGATAATATTAGGAGTTCAACAGATTATGTAACAATCAGTATTGATAATCTGTGACTGAAGGACGTATAGTTCACACCACCAGTGACCACTACTGTCCACAACACACACACACTGGTTTCACTCGAACTGTGGCACAACATCATTTCATAGATTTAGTAGATAGATAGTTTGTTTTGTCATTATTTTAAAACCACATTTCAGTGACGTTTTGCTAGTTGCATTACCTACGACTCACAAGAATATCTCACAAATCGTCTAGACAAAATAAAGCACATGACTTTTGTAAAAGCTGCCGTTCGCAGTGATTTAACAAGCTCCAGCTAGAAATAAAGGGATAGTGTAGCTTAAATTGACTGATCTGAGATCAGATCTGCTGTTAAGCTCATAACTGAGCAGCAAAAAAAGAAAATAGTAAAGAAAATTATTTTCCACGACAAATAGCTAAACACTCATAAATCGATATACATTTACTTGTGAATTTGCAATTTGATCAAAATTAAATGAGTTTACAGGTATGGACAGATATTTTATCTTGTTTCAAGCATAAACTCACTCAATTTTGATTATTTTGAAAACAAGACTCAGGGGTGAGCAACGATTAATCGCGATTAATCGCATTCAAAATAAAAGTTTCTGTTTACATAATATATGTGTGTGTGGTGTGTATAATTATTTTGTATATATAAATACACACACATGCATGTATATATTTAAGAAATATTTTATGTATATACTTTATATATATTTATACAGAATTAATACTAAATATAAATATTTGATATATTAACAACACATTTTTTTTTTAAATATATACATGCATGTGTGTGTATTTATATATACAAAATAGTTATATACACTACAGACACATATATTATCTAAACACAAACTTTTATTTTGGATGCGATTAATCGCGATTAATCGTTGCCCAGCCCTAGTTTTCTTTGCAAGTAAATGTATCTTGATTTAATGTTTAGATTTTTGTACTGAACCCTAAAAAAAATGTAAACAAAATAGCAATTAAAGCAAAAATACTAAGATACAAAATCATTTTTGCAGCGTGTAAAGGTAGTATTCATGAATCGTGTTTAAAGTGTGTGTTTCATAAAAACAGCGGATTACCACTTGTGCTTTGGACGAAGATATGAAGAAATGAAGGCGAGTTTAAGTGCATAGCGTTTGACAACTGATGAAGATCAAACCCTCAGATCTCCCGAACCAGTTTACAACTGGAAAATATGCACACAAGAGCCAGAAAAGCAATACAAACTACATCCTCCCCAACTACACCAACGTTTCAACATCATAACCTGTGGCGTTTTCACCTCGAACCACGTCCGATATTAACGCTTACTCTTTCCGCTCCATAATGTTTACATTCTGAGTGGCCAGAAATCTTTGGAGATGGTTTATGAAAACGATGAGCTACATATTTAAGCTAAAAAGGTCACTTTCTGACACATAAAAGCATAATGTGTAAAAAAAAAAAACTATATAAAACTAAAATGGAAAAGTTTAGAGATGAATAAATGTGAAACTGTCAAGCTTCTGTACACCAAAGGGAACATAAAACGTTAGCACTAGCGGTTAGCAACGTGTACACAGTGAACATTAAAACAACGTTTGTTAACTTTTGCCAGTGCATTATGGGTGATGAGGTATAAGACATGCAGATTAAAGGTCAATAATGCAGTTTCTCAACTGGTAGAAAAAAAGTTGATTTTTAAGAAAGTTGGCTGATGGGAATAGCCGTTAAACTCCGCCCACTTAATAACGTTAAGCGTTTTGCGCGTTTCGTAATAATCACCGGTGCTTTTTCCCACAAAAACATGTTAAATAATCTTTGTTTACAAAAAAACGACCATGGTAACTGTAGTAACAACCACAATTCCATCGTTGCCAAGCGACCAAGCACTATTGTGTAACGTTATCTACAGTCACCATGGTAGATTTAAGCGAGGGTTAAACTGCATTGGTGGTTGAGGGAAGCCATTGATAAAAGATAAGCGGTTAAATAGTCAGGTGGTGTATGCTAATTTTGTGCTTGGCCCCCATATGTGGCACTGGGACCTTTGATAAATAAAAGTGACTAGCGCTGATAAAAGTCTATCGTACCCGTCTTCAACTCGACCCACCCACCCACCGGCTGGCCAGCGTTCGCCCCAGTGCGTGATGGGACGCGGGTTGAAGAGGCGGGCTCAGTGAGTGGTCGGTCCTAGGAAGCTGGTTTGCTGTATCCGAACAGTCCCACCGGGAGATACTTGACGTGCGTCGGCCACTGAGCGGCTAACTGGAAGAACTTCACGTCGCTCCACTCCCCTCCATCGATGGTGACTGAGGAAAGAGGAAGAGGAGCACGGATAAGGTTTAGCGTTGTGCGGGGGCGTTTTACGAGTGAGGACCGGTACCTTTCAGGATGGTCTGCTGCTGTTTGGCGGAGCAGATGAGCCGGCTGATGCCCTCGATCACCTGACTCTTGCAGTCCATCTCCTTCTCTTTAGGCTTCTTCCCCAGGAAAATAGTGGGAACTGAGGAGCAAAAATTCGAGAGCAAGACATTATATTTTTTTAAACATATATTATTTAACTGTTTAAAAAGTCTGGGGTCAGTATGATTTTTTTTGTTCCCCCGAAAGGAAATAATATTTTTATTCATCAGCCCATGTGATAAATGACAGTATAAAGACAGTATTTCGAATAAAGCTGTTCTTTTGAAGAGTTTTCATAGGAATATGAAGCGGCACGACTGTTTTCAACATTCATAATAATCAGAAGTGTTTCTTAAGCATCAGATCATCATATTAGAGTGATTTCTGAAGGATCATGTGACTCTGAAGACTGCTGAAAATACAGCTTTGATCACTGGAATAAATAACATATCAGCATACAGCATATATATTCATAGAAAATTATTATTTTTTTAAACTAATAATATTTTACAATATTAATGTTTTTTTGATCAAATAAAAGGTGAGAATAAGTCAAAAACTTTACAGTACATAAATACATTTTTTTTAATTGTTAGCTAATAAATGAAAAACTAAATAATAAAATGACATGATTTATACACACTTTATACACACACATTTATGTGTAATTATTTTCAAAGTTAACAGTTCATTTATTTTTGTTTTTATTTATATTATATATTTTACCCCCTTGTAATTCAGTGGTTTAAATATTTTCTATTGTACAACAACTCTGGTCTTAAGTACACAAATCAAATTTTTTTTTTTTTTTTTTTACTTTTTTGACTTTCATAATTATCTTTTAAATTGACAAACATCACGTGTAATTCAGGGCACAGTTCAGACGGAATAAAAAGATAAGTTGTCTCTCATAATTGACTTCCATACATATTTTATCCAAAATAAGGTCTCATGAGCCGGAAGCGGAGGGGAGGGGCTTAGGCTCTCTATAGCTCCAGTCACACTCGGCTAAGGGAGTGTGTTCATGGGAAAGTGACATCATTGCAAACCCTAATAACAGTTTGTCAAACACTCTCGGTACTGAGCAGACATGATCTTCTGGATGCTACGAATGGTCACCGCGCTTCGGTTTACCTTTCTTGTTCTTCTCTTTGGTGACCACGGTCATGGCCATAGTGTTGACGGGCGCCTGAGGCTCGCTGGCTCCCCCTCCTGGCAGCCGGCTGACCTGCAGCGACCAGAAGGCACTCTTCAGGGTGTTCTTACAGCCGGTGTCCCTCCTCTCGCCCTCGCGACGCTTCTCCGACAGGGACGCCAGCCAGTAGTCCACCTGCAGGCCGATGGCGTCCACCCCGTGAGACATGCTGGGGCTCCTGACACACACACGGTCGGTATAATAGAAGTGTGTGTGAGAAGTTACAGCTCAAAATACCGCACAGATATTTTTTCAAAGCATGTTAAAATTGTCACTTTTTGAGGCTTGTCACTGTTTAAGATCAAATTAATGCTAGATGTTTTGCGACATGCATCTGAGGACTAATTCTGAACAGGACTACAAGATGTAGATTGTACTGAATGACCCGCTTTCTCCAGCGGGGATTATCACCCAAACCTTGTGACGGGACAAATTCCCTCAACAATCCGGAAGTGTGTCTGAACCAAACCCAGTCATGTGACACTCACCCTTGCACAGCCAAGCCGCCGCCCATGGAGGGGGAGGAGGGGGGCGTGGCGATCTCCTTCAGGCTGGCGGGAGACCCGTGAGAGGGCGGAGACGTGGACGGGACGGCCAGACTCACAGCCACGCCCTCTTCCAGGTCGCCTGCGGGACAGAGACGGACACGCGGTGAGCTTCTGTCACACACACACAGTTGTGGAAGAAATCAGTGCTTTAGTGTCCATGCAAACACACACACCTGCTGATGACTGGCCTGGCTCTATCAAACCCACTTTCACCACCTGTGAGACACCAACAGATCCAAACAAATCAATAGAGAGACACACATGGACAGATTAAAATAATAATAATAATTAATTAATTAATAAAAATAATGATTATTTTTTAATTAAATAAAATAGTAAGGTTTAAAGGTAAAAATAAATTCCAGGGGCAAATATTACCCCTCAAAAAAGTTTATTTAATTTATTTTAATACATGATAAAATATAATATGTGATGCTTTCAGAGACATTTCTGCTGTTGCAACAAACATACAAAGCAAAAACTCTGAATAATTTAGGACAAATATACATATATTTTAATGAATCAATGCAAAATGCAATATTATAGCTTAAAATTAAATAAATATAGTACATAAATGAATAAAATTGGTCAAAATAAATTCCAGGGGCAAATATTACCCCTCAAAAAAGTTAATAAAAGTTCATTTAATTTATTATAATGCATCAGAGAATATAATATATGATGCTTTCAGTGACATTTGTGCTGTTTGCAACAAACATACAAAGCAAAAACAATTAAAAAAATAATTTCATTGTCATAGGACAAATATACATATATTTTAATTAATCAATGCAAAATGCAATATTATAGCTAGTAAGAAATATGTAAAAAAATATATAGTACATAAATAAATAAATTTAAATTAAATAAATAAAATAAATAATTTTGGACAAATATACATATACATATATTTTAATTAATCAATGCAAAATGCAATATTATAGCTAGTAAGAAATATGTAAAAAAATAAATTAAAAAAAATAAAAATAGTACATAAATAAATAAATAAATTAAATAAATAATTTAGGACAAATATACATATACATATATTTTAATTAATCAATGCAAAATGCAATATTATAGCTAGTAAGAAATATGTAAAAAAATAAATTAAAAAAAATAAAAATAGTACATAATAAATAAATTAAATAAATAAATTAAATAAATAATTTAGGACAAATATACATATACATATATTTCAATTAATCAACGCAAAATGCAATATTATAGCTAGTAAGAAATATGTAAAAAAATAAATTAAAAAAATAAAAATAGTACCTAAATAAATAAATTAAATAAATAAATAAATTAAATAAATAATTTAGGACAAATATACATATACATATATTTTAATTAATCGATGCAAAATGCAATATTATAGCTAGTAAGAAATATGTAAAAAAATAAATTAAAAAAAATAAAAATAGTACATAAATAAATAAATTAAATAAATTAATTAATTAAATAAATAATTTAGGACAAATACACATATACATATATTTTAATTAATCAATGCAAAATGCAATATTATAGCTAGTAAGAAATACTTATGGCTAAAATTAAATAAATATAGTACATAAATAAATAAAATAAAATATGTCAAAATAAATTCCAGGGGCAAATATTACCCCTCAAAAAAATGTAATAAAATGTTTATTTAATTTAATATTATATAATATATGATGATTTGAGCTGTTTGCAACAAAACTCTGAGCAATTTTGTTGTCGTTGGACAAATATACATGTATTTTAATTAATCGATGAAATATTCAATATTTTGGCTAGTAAGAAATACTCATGGCTGAAAAATAAAATAAAATAAAGTAAAAAAAGATGCTATTTGTGCTGTTTTTCAACAAACATACGAGTTAAAAACTCTATTAATGCTAGTAATAAAAGCACATGAACGTTTTCTTACCCCAATGAACGGTATGAACTTCTGATACGAATCTTCATCCCTCCTGCAAGAGGAAGCGATAGTTTAACTCAAAGGCTCATGGGAAGTGATCACATCATCTCCAGGTTTAATGAAAAGTGTGTGAGCGAGAGTCGTACGTTCTGTGTTTGCAGGTCAACATGGCCTCAGCGATCGGCAGCTGGTGTGTGTGAGCGGCTCCACTGATGTACTGAGTCACTCGAGACGCCACGTCCACCGCATCTACAACACACACAGTTACAGCATACAGTGTGTGTGAGCATGTGTGTGTGTGTGTGTGTGTGTGTGTACCTGTCTGCGGCGGCTCTGATCGGTTGAATAAGTCTCTCCACGCTCCGTCCAGGAAGGCTGCGCTGTAGCGGTTGTCAAGGGCACCCAGGTGCTTAGCAACAGGATGAGAACCTGAACCAGTTCAGGACACACACACACACACACACACAGCAATGCTCAGATGAAATTAACATTAAAATACATTTAAAACATTTAAATAAATCACATCTATCCATCCATCCATTTGTAATACACTGGTTATCTCTTGACGATGTCATCAGTTGTCTCCTTACCCAGAGGCACGACCAGGAAGCGAATGTGATTGAGCCAATCAGAAGTCTTGTTGGCCAGCTGAGTGACGAAGAACTGCAGGACTGATCCCAGATAACTCTGAGCGCCGACCACCGCGACCTTCACCGGCCGAGGCATCGACGAGTTACAGTTACAGCTGCACACACACACACACCGGTCCATCAGAGTCACAGCATGTCCATCTAACGGAGTGTGTTTCGCTCTCGAGGTTGTTGGAACTAAAAGTGTGTTTCGCTGCGTCTGTGATTGTGTGACTCACAACTTCTGGATGCGTGTGAGGAGAGCCGAGAGAACGGCCTGGATCTCTGCGCCGGAACATGTACACACCACCGGATGCTTCTGGACCTGCAGCTGCTCTGCGACATACTGACACACACACACACTTCAGATCTGCTCATGATTACAGCTTGGTTTTTATATATGTATATAACAATACACACACACACACACACACACAGACACACAGACACACACACACACACACACATACACACAGACACACTTCAGATCTGTTCATGATTACAGCTTGGTTTTTTATATATGTGTATAACAATACACACACACACACACACACAGACACACACAGACACACACACACACACACACACACTTCAGATCTGCTCATGATTACAGCTTGGTTTTTATATATGTATATAACAATACACACACACACAGACACACACACACACAGACACACACACACACACTTCAGATCTGCTCATGATTACAGCTTGGTTTTTTATATATGTGTACAACAATACACACACACACACACACACACACACACACTTTTACAGCTTGATTACAGCTTGGTTTTTATATATAGTATATACAGTACACACACACACTTCATATTTCTATTCATGGTTACAGTTAGTTTTTTACATGCGTGTATATACAATACACACACAGTTCAGATATCCGTTCATGGTTACAGTTTGTTTTTTTATATGTGTGTATACACACATATAAAAAAACAAACTGTACAGACACACACACACAAACACAAATGCAAACACAAAAAAAACATAAACTGTACAGACACACACACACACACACACACACAAATACAAACCCCAAAAAACTAGGGCTGTGCAAAAGTTAATTGAGATTAATCGCATCCAAAATAAAAGTCTGTGTTTAAATAATATATTTGTGTGTGCTGTATATAATTATAGTGTATATATAAATACCTATGCATGCATGTATATATTTAAGAATTATTTGCGCTTAAATTCTGTATATATTTATAAATACATAATCTATATTATATAAATATAAATATTTTGTATATGAATAACACATTTTCTCAAATATATACATGCATGTGTGTGTATTTATATATACAAAATAATTATATACAGCACACACAAATATATTATGTAAACACAGACTTTTATTTTGGATGCGATTAATCGCAATTAATTTTTGCACAGCCCTAAAAAAACACAAACACTCTCTCACACACTCTCTCCCTCACAAACACAAACACTCACACAAATGCAAACACAAAAACACTTTCACACACACACACATAAAAAACGCGCACACATACCTGTCCTTGCCAGTCTGTGCCATTGATCAGGATGAGACTTTCAGGAAGAGCAGCGTCAGATAACAGAATCTGATTCAACTGATCATAGACAGCCTTCCTGAGGACCTACACACACACACACACACACACACACACACGAGTCAGCTGAGCATGAATAATTCACAGTGACTCTGCAGAACAAGATGAAACACTGCATTAACATTCCTTATTTAACCACGGAGATGAATGAGAAAGGAGACGCTCGCTCTGACACCAGCGCTGACACACACACACACACCGCAGTAAACCACAGGCCTTCAGTCCTCATCTCCAGCTCAGCTGACGAACCAACATCAACTCTTAAATCCTAAGAGCTGATCTTTTAGTCTATACTGTTTTCAGCTCACGCATAAACAAAAACATTATTTCCAAGCTTGTAAACAACGTCACGCGACATTATATTACACGTACCTCAGAGAAGCCGTTCAATGTCCAGAAACTCGTTAGTCAAGGAGCCGTTTGATAAAATATGCACTATTATATACATGACAACTGTAGTGCTGGGTAACAGTTAATTAGGGCCGTCAAACGATTAATCGCATCCAAAATAAAAGTTTGTGTTTACATAATATATGTGGGTGCACTGTGTATAATTATTATATATATATATATATATAAATACACACACATGCTTGTATATATTTTAGAAATATTTTCATGTATATACTGTATATAGATTTATATATAATTTATATTATATATAATTATAAATATTTTATGTATAAATAATATTTTTTTCCTAAATATACATGCATGTATGTGTATTTATATATATATATATGTTATATTACATTATATACACAAATATATATATATATATATATATATATTAGAAATATTTTATGTATATACTGTATATAGATTTATATATAATTTATATTATATATAATTATAAATATTTTATGTATAAATAATATTTTTTTCCTAAATATACATGCTTGTATGTGTATTTATATAATATATATATATATATATATATATATATATATTATATTACATTATATACACAAATATATATATATATATATATATATATATATATATATATTTTAGAAATATTTTATGTATATACTGTATATAGATTTATATATAATTATATTATATATAATTATAAATATTTTATGTATAAATAATATTTTTTTCCTAAATATACATGCATGTATGTGTATTTATCTATATATATATATATATATATATATATATTATATTACATTATATACACAATATATATATATATATATATATATATATATATATATATTAGAAATATTTTCATGTATATACTGTATATAGATTTATATATAATTTATATTATATATAAATATAAATATTTTATATATAAATAATATTTTTTCCTAAATATACATGCATGTGTGTGTATTTATATATATATATATATATATATATATATATATATTGTATATATCATATACTGTACGGAAAATAATTATACACAGTGCACCCACATATATTATATAAACACAAACTTTTATTTTGGATGCTATTAATCGTTTGACTGCCCTACAATTAATCGCATCCAAAATAAAAGTTTGTGTTTCCATAAATATGTTTTGTGTGTACTGTGTATCATAATTTTGTATATAAAGTATACACACACGTGCATGCATATAATTAAGAAAAATGTGTTATAAACGTTATTGTTATAAATGAAATTCAAGTATATATACACATGTAAAGATTTCTTAAATATATATACATGCATGTGTGAGTGTATTTATATATACACAGTACACACACACACATATTATGTAAACACAAATGTGATTAATCCCGAATAATCGTTACCCAGCACTAGAAAATGTACACACAGCACCTGATAAACATCTGAAATGAATTGAACTCCAGATAGGAGCTAAAGTGTGTGTTGAGCGAGCGAGTCTGTACCGGTGTGCTGTGGGCGAGCTCAGGGGATCTCTCGCTGTCCGAGCTGTTGGTGCGCTCGCTCAGAGGCTTGGAGAGCTGCCGGTCTTTCATAGGAGTGCAGCGCTTACGGGGTGTGTGTCCTCCATCCAGCCTGCAACACACACACCATCATTTATGACTGTATTTCTAGCCTACTGCACTTTTACGCTTACACAAAGACAAGTTAAAGTAGTCAAGAGACATTCAAGCTAATCTTCAGAAAAAGTAGTGGGGTTTAAAACAACATTATGCAATACAAATATAAATTATCCAAAGATACAAACAATACTCAATTATATATATATATATATGAAGAGTTCAGATGCAAAAGCCTCTAAGTGCCATTTGAAATTTTTTTCTTTAATGATGATTTTTATCAAACTTGTATATTTAAGTTCAGTAATTTCACTTAAATTTGAAATTTGTTATTTAAGTGAAATTACTGAACTTAAATATACAAGTTTGATATAAATCATCATTAAAGAAGAAAATTTCAAATGGCATTTAGAGGCTTTTGCATCTGAACTCTTCATATATACTTTTTGGGCGATACGATAATTCTTCATATTTGAAAGCCGATAACCGATATATCGGCCGATGAATCTAAATCCAATTTTTTATATAATTTTTGAGAGACTGATTACAAAAAACAAAAGTCGCAAGCACACAATAATAACGTCCTCATTATAATTTTATGTAGGCTACATATGGGTTTCCCATAGCCAGAACAGGTAAAATAGACATCAAGTTTGTATTTGTATCTCATCTGGCTCAAAAGCTATAGTCGAATCCCTTTCAGGCGGCGGCCATAATGGATTTGGCCGCCATCTTGGTCTCAGGGACCATTGGCTTGGGCGCCCTGACTAAATCATTTCACTATGCCCTCAGCTACATCTGTGCCAAATTTGGTGCTTGTAGATGAATTTGCGCGAACAATGGGATGTAAGGCCCCATTCGACAGCCCAAACTGCTTTTTTGGACAGCAGCCATATTGGAATTGGAGGCTCAAGGGGTCCAGATATACTGGGTCATAAATATAAACATTTCTATGTGTTTCCCATGATCAATTAAGCTGAAAAACATATCAAGTTTGTATTTGTGACTCATGTGGTTCAAAAGTTATAGCCGGAACCCTTTTCGGGCAGCAGCCATATTGGATTTGGCCGCCATCTTGGCCCCTAGCTAAATCATTTCGGTATGACCTGAGCTACATCTGTGCCAAATTTGGCGCTTTTAGATGAATTTGCGCGAAAACGTGCTTAAGGCCCCCAACTAATAACAGACTTGTGCTGTATTTTCCTTTTCCGAAGTGATTTCAATCAATTTAAAGATCAAACCCATCATGACGATCTGAAACGTCTCAGCTGAAGGAAATAATACATTATTTATCGGCTTTAAGATATCGGCCAAAATTTCTTATCGGGGCCGATAACGATAACCTTAAAAGTGAACATATATCGTCCGATACCGATATGGTGGGCGATATATCGTGCATCCCTACAAAACTGCAACAGATATAACATCAATGCAAGAACAAAATATATGTAACCTAAGCAGTGTGTCCACCAAAGTGTTTTTCCACGCGCCTGGCGTATGTTTTCAATTGTTTTCAATGGGAGCGCCGCGTTTTTTAAACGCCATGAGCGTACCGAGGCGTTTTTTCACGCTGAAGCGCCGAGCGTTTTTTACTGGTCGCAGAGAGTTGAAAAATGTTCAACTTTGGATAAAACGCAGCGCTCATCACTGTCACTTATTACCCAGCCGTCCAATCACAGTGGAGGAGGGGCGGGACTAAACCACATCGACCAACTGTCACAACATTCAAACTGCTGCGGATATTCTGTATCATAGCAACGAAACGTCTCAACGGAAAAAAACGCTGCGCTGCCAAAACGCTCTCAAGCGCCCAAAGCACGGCGTCTTCAGCAGAGCGTCTAGCGTTTCCAGCTGGATAAAAACGCTTTGGTGGACACACGGCCTTATACTGGATATACAGGAGTTAAACTCAGTCTTAAATGAGAACATCAGATCTCAGAGCTTTTGAGTTAGGCTTGAGTTAGCTTAGGAGTTTAGCTCCGTTAGGTTCATTACAAAACTGTAGCGGGACTGATTCAACTATGGCTGGTCATCATTGTTTTTAAATCAGATATTCACATTTGATATAGCGTGAAATAAAGCTGGCTAATTAATCGATTTAAAAAGGCTATAATTCACCTGTGTGTGTGTGTGACCGTAATCCTCAGACGATGTCTTGTAATGCACAGCTTTAGTAAGTGAGCTATTAAGACAACGACGCTACTTGTTGAAAAAGGTAGTCTGCGACTGGAAAAGCTGAACTGTTTCTAAAGTTACTGTTAAAAGCGTTTTTATCCAACTGGAAACGCTAGACGCTCTGCTGAAGACGCCGTGCTTTGGGCGCTTGAGAGCGTTTTGGCAGCGCAGCGTTTTTTTCCGTTGAGACGTTTCGTTGCTATGATACAGAATATCCGCAGCAGTTTGAATGTTGTGACAGTTGGTCGGTGTGGTATTAGTCCCGCCCCTCCTCCACTGTGATTGGACGGCTGGGTAATAAGTGACAGTGATGAGCGCTGCGTTTTATCCAAAGTTAAACATTTTTCAACTCCCAGCGACCAGTAAAAAAACGCTCGGCGCTTCAGCGTGAAAAAAACGCTCAGCGCCTCGTTACGCTCATGGCGTTTAAAAAACGCGGCGCTCCCATTGAAAACAATTGAAAACATACGCCAGGCGCGTGGAAAAACGCTTTGATGGACACACGCCTTAAGCTACTGAAAAGCGTAGTTAGCTAGTCCCCAAACACCGCGTGATATTCCTGAAGATGCGTGTTGGCGGTCTGACCTGGGTGACGGCATGGCCTGAATCTCATTCTTGCTGGTTTTTAAGGGTGTCCGTGGTTTTTCAGCCACAGACACCATTATACAGGGGCCGACATCAGCGAACATCTCCTGATCATTCAGTTCCTGCACACAGAAGAGCATTAAAACATCAGAACCAGGAGAAGTCACGGGAGCATAACACACACTGAGCCGGGAGAATTAGGTCAGGGTGAAAATGGGACTTATTTAGTGTAATAAACACCTTTTTGACAAATGTTTTGCTAGAAAAGTGTGTTTGTACTATCTATTATTTAAAAAAAAAATCACATTTAGTTTGATTTTTTCCATCTTTAATGTGAATATATGCGTGCTTCAGACTATATGTGTGCGTCTCACCAGCGTGTCGGTCTCGGACAGCGGCTCGTCCAGGTTACGGCTGCGCGAGTGTTTGAGTTTATCTGGTGGCGGCTGCTCCCCCTGCTGGACACACACACAAACTACAATCACATACACTATACACACTATATATATTACACCTCATATATGTTATATATTACACCTTATATATGTTATATATTACGCCTTATATATGTTATATATTACACCTTATATATGTTATATATTACACCTTATATATGTTATATATTACACCTTATATATGTTATAACACCTTATATATGTTATATATTACGCCTCATATATGTTATATATTACACCTCATATATGTTATATATAACACCTTATATATGTTATATATTACACCTTATATATGTTATATATTACACCTTATATATGTTATAACACCTTATATATGTTATATATTACGCCTCATATATGTTATATATATAACACCTTATATATGTTATATATAACCCCTTATATATGTTATATATTACACCTCATATATTTTATATATTACACCTTATATATGTTATATATTACACCTCATATATGTTATATATAACACCTCATATGTGTTATATATTACACCTTATATATGTTATATATTACGCCTTATACATGTTATATATTACACCTTATATGTTATATATTACGCCTTATACATGTTATATATTACACCTCATATATGTTATATATTACACCTTATATATGTTATAACACCTTATATATGTTATATATTACGCCTCATATATGTTATATATAACACCTTATACATGTTATATATAACACCTTATATATGTTATATATTACACCTTATATATGTTATATATTACACCTTATATATGTTATATATTACACCTTATATATGTTATAACACCTTATATATGTTATATATTACGCCTCATATATGTTATATATAACACCTTATATATGTTATATATAACCCCTTATATATGTTATATATTACACCTCATATATTTTATATATTACACCTTATATATGTTATATATTACGCCTTATACATGTTATATATTACACCTTATATGTTATATATTACGCCTTATACATGTTATATATTACACCTCATATATGTTATATATTACACCTCATATATGTTATATATTACACCTTATATATGTTATATATAACACCATATATATGTTATATATTACGCCTTATATATGTTATATATTACGCCTTATATATGTTATATATTACGCCTTATATATGTTATATATTACGCCTTATATATGTTTAGATGTTAAAATACTTTCTTCTGTTCCAGATTAACACAGAGACTCTTGTACAAGCACTTTCACACACCGCTCAGCTCAACGCGTCCGCATGTCATCTTTAGGCAGAAAGCTGAAACTCATTGTGTTCTGCAGGGTTATTTCCTGATGTGAGAGAACCAAAGCTGTGTGTGTGTGTGTGTGTGTGTGTGTGTGTGTGTGTGTGTGTTACTCACGGGGCTGACGGCGTCTCGATTCAGACTGCCTTTACTGTTCAGGCTGCCGATCTCTGTCTGAGAACTCGACTGGGACATGCCCTCAAAGAACGGCCTGGAACACACACACACCCACACACACAGACACACACACACACACACACACACAGAGAAAGAGAGAGAGAGAACACAATTTGTTCACACACAATAAGACACACGAACACAGCACCGGCTGCTCGTCTCTCAGTCCTGCGTTCATTTCTTAAAGGATTAGTTCACTTTTGAAAAAACTTTTGCTGATAATTTACTCACCCCGATGTCATCCAAGATATCCATGTCATTTTTCTCCATATAATGGACTTCAATGGGGTCCAAACGGTTCAAGGTCCAAAAGACAGTTTCAGTGCAAACTGTTCAAAGGGCTTTAAACGAATCCAGACGATGAATAAGGGTCTTATCAAGCAAAACGATCACTCATCAAAATGAACGAATCTTTTCCCTAGTCAATTCGTTCATTTAATGAACCAAATGAAACGAAAAAAGATTCGTTCATTTTGATGAACGAGTTCGAACAGGAGAGTCACGAACGCGCATCACAGAACAGAGCAAGGCAAGCATTTGAGATTATAAAACTTAAACTTTGTTATTTATTTATTAAATGAGCGATCATTTCGCTTGATAAGACTCTTATTCATCGCCTGGAATCATTTAAAGCCCTTTGAACAGTTTGTAGTTTGCACTGAAACTGTCTTTTGGACCGTTTGGACCCCATTGAAGTCCATTATATGGAGAAAATCCTGGAATGTTTTCATCAAAAACCTTAATGCATTTTCGACTGAAGAAAGAAAGACATGGACATCTTGGATGACATGAGGGTGAGTAAATCATCAGCAAAAGTTTTTTTAAAAGTGAACTACTCCTTTAAAACAACACACAAACGCATCTGTCAGTCATCTTTAGTACATCACACACAAACGTCAGAGTGAAACACATAAATCATAAACACATCTTCATTCTCAGTTACAGATCATGCTGAAGATCTCTCGCTCAGCCTTACACGTGTGAACACAAAACACACACCAGGCCAAATGTAGAATAAAGTCAAAACAAATCATTTTCTTTATTTATACATTTTACATTTTCAGTTTTCATTTTAGTTTAAGTGGCTTTTGACATATTGTTTTGCTTTCATTTATTTATTTAATTTCAGTTTTAGCACTTATTTCTGTCGTAATTTTAGGCTTTTCATCTAATATTTATATTAATTTCCACTTCAATAATTTTTTTTTATTAACAATAACACTGTAAAGTCATGAATGTTTTAAAAGACTACACTTTTAGTCTTGTAAAATTAATAATTGAAATGCTCTCATCTGAAACCCCTCTGTAACTCTGCAGACGAACACTGACAGCAGAGGACATATTTTACATGTAAATAAAAATGATATTTTGTCAGCCATTTTGTTTGATTTCAAAGTTAAAAATTCGTAGAAATGTCAACATGAGCTGCAGCTAAACCAGTGCGATGTGTGTGTGTGTGTACAGCTAAATCAGTGTGATGATGCAAGTAAACAAGCGTGTTTATAAAAAAAGTGGTATTTATAAAAAAATGTATATGAAAAATTCTATGTATAAAAGCTATAAGAACGTATAATGCAGTTGAATTGAATTAAAGATCCAGTCCTAATTTACCAGTGATATTTTCTATTATAGTTTTTATTAATATTTTGAATTAGCTTTATTTTTATATGGTCAGTTTTCATTTTAGTTTTGTTATAATTTCACTTTTTTATATATATTTCTATTTAGCTTTATTTTTATCTCAGTTTTAGTCATTCTGGTATGTCCAATTAAAATAATTTTATTTCAGCTAAGGAAGCATTTCTAATTTATATGTCTATCATGTAATATTCATAATTTATAAAGCTGCAATGCAGTTCATGTGTGCTTAGAGCGACACTTCTCAAGTCTATTCCTCCATCCTGATGCTCCGTCAACACAAGCACAAGATCACGTGACTGACGCTCATCCGGATTGGCTGACTGAATCCTCGCAGTGTTCGAGTAAACCGCAGCGATTGGCTGTTGTAAAGCTGGAGGTTATGAGACAAAGACAGACGACACCAGCAGAGGGCGCCGCAGACTGTGTGTTTGAGTGTGTGTTTTTTATATGTGTGTGTGTACCTGAGTTTGGGTTTGGGAGTGCTGAGGATGCTGTCGGTCTCCTCCATCTCGGGCCCGCTGTCGCTGGGGTTGTACATCTCCAGACTGTCGTAGAGTTCGTCCAGGTCCTCCTCCACCTCCTGGATCTGCTCACGGGACACGTGCTCCAAGCCGAACCCCACCTGAGGAACATCAACACATGCTTTCAGTCAGGTCCTGTACAGACACTCACACACAACAGCAGAGAGGGTCACATCTGTGAGTGTGAGGTCAGAGGTCAGAAGGAACGAGACGTTACCTCATCTGACACCTTAAACCTCTTCAGCAGCGCCACAAACTTCTGCTTGATGTTGGGTTGCTGGAGAAATAATAAAAAAACAATTATATATTTATAACGCAATTCAGACAAGGTACTGCAATCATTCATAAAGCCGTTTAAGTAAAGAAACTTATGTTTTTTTAATTTATAAAATGAATAAAGTGTTTCATGGAAATGCAGTCGTTCACTCTCTGAGTCACCCGGAGATCAACACTATAGTTTTATTTATTACTTTACATAAAAAAATTACTTTACATAAAAAAAATAAAAAGATAAAAAGCTACAAAAGTGTCCTTTTTAATGGTAATGTGTTGTGTGTTAAACGGAGCTCAGTGCCGTCGTTGTGTGTGTGTGTGTGTGTGTGTGTCTTACTCTCGTGATGGAGGCGTTGGAAGTAAGTTTGCGTCTGGGTTTCTTCTTCCTCACCTCGTCCTCTTCATCATCTAGATACTGAAACACACAAACACAATCCATTAAACACACACATATACACACTCACTCACTCAAAAACATATAAACTCACTCACAAACATATACACGCACGACACACACACGCGCACACACACTTTCCAGAATGCTTTTGATGCAAATGTTTATTTTTATAAAGCTATCTGGAAATGATGTGACTGTTCTAATTGTTTGGTTTTTTTATTATTATTATTATTATTATGATTAGTCTACAGAAATATGTCAAAACACAAACATGTATTTAACATATTAGGGAATAAAGAAGCATTATTAGTAATAAATAAATATGTCACACACACATGGACATTTAATTTAAAAAATAGTTATTCAAAAATAATTTATTAAAAATCCTTTATTACAGTTAACTTATTAAAATATATTCATTTTTAAATCAATTTATTACAAATGTATGAATTCATGAAAATGTAAGAGACATTTATTTAAAACAAATTATTTTAAAAAAATATCTTTTAAAATCTTCAAATATTTATTTTAAATTATTTATTTTTTTATGTTTATCAAAAAATAAATTCAAATTAAAAACATGTATTCCAAAATTAATGAATTAATTCAAAATGTGTTACTTGATCTAACACACACACACACACACACACAGGTGACCTACGTGATGCACGGGGTCGTCGCTGCCCTCCTGCTCAGACGAGTAGCTCTCCTCCTCTTCCTCGGAGTAGTTATCAATATCAGGAGAACGATCTGAGTGCAAGGAAACAATAGTGAGGTGTGTGTGTGTGTGTGTGTGTGTGTGTGTGAGAGAGAGAGAGAGAGGAACACTGAAAATGAGATGTAGTCCAGGGTTCGACATTTTGCCTTTTCATGTGCAAGTAAATCTGTTATTCCCTTGTCTGAATACAAAAGTTGCAGTCCGGAATTTTTGTATGTGTGTGTGTGTTGTAAATATAATTTATTCTAAAGCAATATTCTCATTGGTGTTCAATAATATAGGCTATTTAAATCTGCATATTGTAACTGCACCTTTAAAGGGCACCCCCATCCCCCTAATATATGCTTCATCTTTAATTTTAAATTCTTAAATTTGATCAATAAATTAAATTATTTAAATTAGTCAGACGCTATAGGGTTGTTGTTACCCTAGGTAGGACTGATCAAATTAAATCATTTACACTGAAAAACTGAGGTAAACATAACAGTAAACCGCCATTAGGTGTCGCCAGGCGACCGTCTCATTGAGCGAGTCATTGATTCATTCATTCAAACGATTCGTTCAAATGAGTGATTCATTCAAGAATGCGACCGATGTTTATGAACGGCTCACTGAATCTTTGACTCAACCTATTCGTTCAAAACGCTGAATCCTTCAGTAATGAGAGCACGGTTGAGTGTTGCTGTGAGATGTGATCTCGGTTTGGAACTATTTTCGCGGCTGAAACGGAACAAAAACCGTCAATATTGTGACTAAAAATGTAAGTGATTTAATTTGAACTGTTTTCCTGATGATATTCAAAGAAACAGCACTCGTTGTGGGAGGTTGCTTAACTGTATCATACAGTTCTACTCGTCAGCTCTTTCATGTTAAAAATATAAAAACTCAACATTTTGAATTTTTATCGGCAGTATGTTGTTAATTGAGTTTCTCATTTGTTTTTACCGTCAGTAATGTATTTAATACTATCAATCAAACTTATAAATGTAAACAAATCAGAATCATTCTCTAGTTTTAGTGATCATACTAATACTGTAAAATGAAATTCCAGGACTATTAATGACTTTTCAAGCACAACTTTTTGGTTTCAAGGACTACATAGATCGCATTTATCAAACAATATCTTTATTTTATGAGGATTTTTTTTACTCAAATTATAGAACATATACTTACAACATATTTAATAATATATATTAAATCCAAAGTTAATAATGGCTATTATTTAATCATTAAATATTTTATATTAGCCTATAGTTTTAGCGTAGCCTGCTTAACGATGTGATGGGGGTTTATCAGACGGGTTCAATTTGCAACATTTAAAAACATTGTATTTGTTTTTAGTATCTTAGATCATTTTAGTATCATATATATTGCACCTTTCAAGTACCTCTTCATAAATATGTGTTTTCAAGGGTTTTTCCAGGACTTACATTTCAAAAAGTCAAAGTACTTCAAGCGTGTACGAATATTTTCTCAGTGCATTTGTAAGTTAAATAAAGGTTCAAGGGAATTAACAAATCACAGATTCTTGATTTTATTGCATTTAAAAAACAACAACAACGTTGTGCCAACTTTTTTTGTGAATGGGGTTGCACCTCTTTGTATATGTGTCTGTTTTCAAGAGTGTTTCCAGCACTTTAAGCAGCGTGGAGGAACCCTGTGATTGGTCAATCGCTCCACCACCCTCGTGCACTGGTGTCTCACCGTTCATCTTGGCTTTGGGTCCCTCGTGGTCGATGGGCTGACTGGACAGAGAGTAAACCCTGATCTCGGCCACCGGGACGGACACCTCCTTCAGCTGACTGTGCAGACCCAGAACCTGAGCGCCCTCGGTGGGGTGCTGCATCACCTGACCACACAAAACACCACCCGTTAGCAAAAACACCACTCGCCCCTACTTCTACTCGCCAAAAACAAAAACATGTACAGTGCTTGGCATAAGTGAACACACCCATGCTAAAGTTGCCTAAAAAGAGGAATAAAAAAATCATCTTTAGGAAATTGATCTTAAAGCAGCACTATGTAGATTTTTCAACCTTTATAATACTTTTCCCAAACCCTTGAGATGGTACATCGACTTACAATAGGTTGAATGACTCGTCTGCCGTAGCCAGTGTTGGGTAAGTTACTCTAAAAAAGTAATTAATTACTAGTTACTAATTACCTCTTCAACAGTGTAATTAGATTACTGTACTAATTACTCTCTCTAAAAAGTATTTGATTACTAATTACTTTCAAAATCCCATATCAATCTCAACCAGCTGAATAAAACAAGGATAGACATGAATCTGTTTTAATTCTTTCAAATAAATACTATAAAATTGCATGAATTATCCTTAAACTGACCAAGGAGAAGGTTCGATTATGAAAACATACTTTTTAACATCAGACAATATATTTTGATGTTAAACCCGCTATTTTTTTGTCTGATCTCATTACATTTCAGACTTTTTCCATGCATATTTTAAAATAATTCATACGAATTTGTACGAGTGTGGTCGTAAGATTTAGACACCTCATAAAATGCATACGAATCGCTGTGAGATCGGATTGATCTATACACAGTATTTACCTCAATTACATCAGAAGTAACTGTAATTAAATTACAGATAAATGAAGAGTAATCCCTTACTTTACATTTTCAAGGGAAAAGTAATTAAATTACAGTAACTAATTACTAATTACCCAAAACTGGCCGTAGTCTAACGTTGTCTCTATCGCCTTTACTGGCACTCTGTAACTTCGGGGAGCGGGTAGGAACCCGAGCACAAAAAGAACTACAAAATTCGACCTCTTTACGGCATACGTCACTTCCCCCACTTCCTCAAAGTCCGACGAGTGTTTTTTTCCCCCCTCCGTATGTTGTCACGGCTGAAGCTGCGAGTAAAACGAAGAAGCCAAAGGTTTTGTCGGAGGACAGTAGAAAGATAAAAAGGGAGAGTGGCAAAATAAAAGGGTGGACGAGGATCAATATTGGTCCAGCGTTAGCTCGCTAGCACCACTCATCCATAGGGTACGCCAAAATGAACGGACGAGTGATTTTTTTTATACTAATACTATTTTAAAAACATTAATTTGTACGGAGCCCCCCTAGTCCCACTTTGGCAAAAAAAATTAACTATAACTATCTTATGGCCTCAAGATAGTAACTCGTGGCCTCAAGATACTAACTCGTGGCCTAAAGATACTAACTCGTGGCCTCAAGATAGTAACTCGTGGCCTCAAGATACTAACTCGTGGCCTAAAGATACTAACTCGTGGCCTCAAGATAGTAACTCGTGGCCTCAAGATAGTAACTCGTGGCCTCAAGATAGTAACTCGTGGCCTCAAGATACTAACTCGTGGCCTCAAGATACTAACTCGTGGCCTCAAGGTAGTAACTCGTGGCCTCAAGGTAGTAATTCGTGGCCTCAAGATACTAACTCGTGGCCTAAAGATACTAACTCGTGGCCTCAAGATAGTAACTCGTGGCCTCAAGATAGTAACTCGTGGCCTCAAGATAGTAACTCGTGGCCTCAAGATACTAACTCGTGGCCTCAAGATACTAACTCGTGGCCTCAAGATACTAACTCGTGGCCTCAAGATACTAACTCGTGGCCTCAAGATACTAACTCGTGGCCTCAAGATACTAACTCGTGGCCTCAAGATACTAACTCGTGGCCACAAGATACTAACTCGTGGCCTCAAGATACTAACTCGTGGCCTCAAGATACTAACTCGTGGCCTCAAGATACTAACTCGTGCCTCAAGATACTAACTCGTGGCCTCAAGATACTAACTCGTGGCCTCAAGATAGTAACTCGTGGCTTCAAGATAGTAACTCGTGGCCTCAAGATACTAACTCGTGGCCTCAAGATAGTAACTCGTGGCCTCAAGATACTAACTCGTGGCCTCAAGATACTAACTCGTGGCCTCAAGATACTAACTCGTGGCCTCAAGATACTAACTCGTGGCCTCAAGATAGTAACTCGTGGCCTCAAGATAGTAACTCGTGGCCTCAAGATACTAACTCGTGGCCTCAAGATAGTAACTCGTGGCCTCAAGATAGTAACTCGTGGCTTCAAGATAGTAACTCGTGGCCTCAAGATACTAACTCGTGGCCTCAAGATAGTAACTCGTGGCCTCAAGATAGTAACTCGTGGCCTCAAGATAGTAACTCGTGGCCTAAAGATACTAACTCGTGGCCTCAAGATAGTAACTCGTGGCCTCAAGATACTAACTCGTGGCCTCAAGATACTAACTCGTGGCCTCAAGATACTAACTCGTGGCCTCAAGATACTCATCTTGAGGCCACGAGTTAGTATCTTGAGGCCACAGGATAGTTATAATTAATTTTTTTTGCCAAAGTGGGACTAGGGGGCGCTCCGTAAATTTGTAATACTACTCCACAAAAACATAACTAAGTCCCCCGACTCCGGTCTGGTGCATCAATCTTCCCCCGCCTAGCAAATGTGAAGTGCGTTAGAAACAGCGCATAATCAGTTTAGTGTTGCTTCGCAGCTTCGCCCCTCGCCGCATCCAATGTAGACTGCATTGCTTTCTTTTGAGGGCGCTTAACACATTCAAGCATCCCCGTAGAGCCGGGGCGGGCAGCTCGCGCCAGCTCGAGACGTGAAAGTATACTGAATACCGAGTTTGGTAGGGGCTACATTCTTGCAAGTAAATAATCCATGATTAGACGGACAAAATAATCGGTCAGGATAACTACCCCATGTCTGCAGGCTGATAATCGTGTTTGTTATTTAAGTGTCTTGCCTCAGGCTGTAATGCAAATCGATCTTTCAAATTTGCATTGAAACCCTGAGTGTATTTGGGGAGATGCGCCTCACCTCCGCCATGTTGATGAGGCCGAGCGCCAGGGTCTTGTAGCCCAGGATGGTCCGGTTCTTGTACCTCTTCCTCCTCTGCAACATGATCTGAAGCTTGTTGGCGTCTCGCTTCAGGAAGTGAGGATACTGAGGAGGAGAAGAAGAGTGTGTGATTTAGGCCATCGGACGTGATTCTGTTAGAGAGGTCTCGTGCGTCACACACACACACACACACCTGTAAGGAGAAGGTGAGCTGCAGGTCTGTTTCCGTCTGGCCGCTCGATGGCAACAGGATTTCATTGGAACGAAGGATTCGCTTTGAGCCCTGAGGGAGAAGAGGACAGATGGAGATCATCATGAGACGGAGGCGAGCAGAAAACGCAAACCTTTAAAGAATAAAACCTTTATTGCTATTACGAGACAAAATATTAGCCGTGAATATAGAAAAGAGTGATCAAATCTGTATTTTCAGCAGTCTTCAGTCACATGATCCTTCAGAAATCACTCTAATCTGAGGATCTGATGCCCAAGAAACATTTCTGATTCATATCTATGATGAAAACAATATTTGTGTCACACATTGTCGTTCTCATAGATATCTATATAAAGGCTAGATGTCTCACAGCGGCCATCTTGTCACAGACAGGCTTTCTGGCGGGCTCTGATGTAAGAAATACTCTTATCTCGTTGAAATCTTGACGGATTTACAAACGGTTTGGTTTCTTACAAACGTTATTAACGTGGCTATAATTCTGGATGATTATTTATTTATACACTTATTATTCAATAGTATGCAGTATCATAACTACATCTCTGCCGTTTATAACAAACCAGACCGTTTGAAAATCGGTAGGAAATTGAGCAAGTTACGGTGATTTAAGAAGTACATGCACCCTAAAAACAATGTTACGAGTGAGCGTGACAAGATGGCCGCCAGGTGCTGACGTCAACCTCCATTGGCCAGCAGCGCGGACGAGATATCTAGCTTTTATATAGATATCTATGGTCGTTCTGTCTGGTTTAGGATCACATCCTGTGACATCATATCCTGTTTCTGGCCTATTTAGATGTCTTTAATCCGCACCAGAGTTGTTTGAAAGCGTCCCATCTTTTAAGTGTTGTTTGCTCCAGGGTTCACACTTCACTTGCTAACAGAGCAATCGCATCAGAGTTTGTTTAAATCGAACCAAACACAGTGTGAACACAGTTGAGCAGAACGAGTGACGCACCTGGAGTTTGACAGCGATGACCACCGACGTCAGATCTTTATCCAGCTCCTTCAGCATGACCAGCTTCTTCAGGGTCAGATTGAAGAGCCTGCGGACACACAAGTCACTCCACAATTCAATAATGTATCACAATATTGGGTGGCAAATGAAATCACAAGAGAGACTAGGAGAAAGTGAATCAGCATCGATCAACACACAACAATGGGACTGATCTCGTTGTGTGGTGAAGCATAGCTTTATTGTGACGGATATGAACACTGTGTTATTCTCGAGAGGTTTCGGAGGGTCAGGGAAGGTAACCAACGGGAATGGTTTACAGTGACTCCTGAAATAGAGGCTCTTCTGACAAGAGCTGCCGTCATGCGGATCAATACCAACCTAAAACAGATATTCAATCATCAGACACACACGCACACACACAACCTCAGGTGGGCGACGTGCATTTTCACACGTCAGCATTTAAAGATGAACTGAACTGAAATTTGAGAAAAGGTGATATAACAGATGTATTTTATTTATTCTCATTGGTACAATTTTTAAAATGGCAGAATTTGTTAAAAGGGATAAAATGGTACATTGAAAGTGTTGTTTTTGTTACACGGGCGCCGCCATGTTGGATTTCAACGTTCGACTACGTCACTGGCATGGTAAGCCACTCCGCTGCCTACCCGCACCAGCAGAACAGCCGTAGCTTGTAAACAGTCTGAGGCGCGCTGACATGGCTGAAGAAATAGATTTTTTAGCGACACACTATTTAGAGATGTGTACTTTCGTCAATGAGTACATGAAACGTCTGACAATGCATGAAATGTTTTATTTACACAAGTTACAAGTTCAATGCATCACGTTAACGTTACTCGAATCCTTGATATTCGGGTGAGGGGGAAAAGATCCCTGATGTATAGTTCACTGTAAAGGATGGGATTTTCTCCTTCCTAAATGCACCCTCGCCCATAGAGTGAACTGCCAGTCCGCTGTTAATCTAAACAATCTGAGAAAAGTGTAACAAGTTAGCCCAGCCGTCACCTATTCGTAAAATACCCTGTTACTTATGGGGCGCTCGCGTCTCAGCTCGGACATCCATTAGAGACAGTATAGCCTCCTTCAACACGTTTCTCTCACCGAACAGCATCCGAAATGAACGGTGCATGGTGATGCATTTTTCGCCGATCAATAAATGTCCATGTTGACCTCTCTGCAACAGATCGTCTCCGTGCAGTGTCTATGCTCCACAGCGCTCGCGCCCACAGTCACTTTCCCCCAAACGATCCTGTACTGCAAGTGAAGCCTGAAACTGATCGTCCTCCATGTGGTGGTAGTTAGACACTACCGGCCTGTCCCTCACGGGCTCAAATGCGTAATCCATGCCGTTAAAAGCGCTCATTTTCGTCTGTGTATACAGGACCTACAGCTGTTGTCTATGGCGTTCCGCGGGTCCTACCATGCCAGTGACGTCATCGGAACTGCCAGCGCTAACAAGCGCAATTTTGCGTTGCTTAAAAAAGCTATATTAATATATATTTTTAAAAAATGTTTAGTGTAATTTACTTTTAATTGTCATAAACAACACGTTTTCAACGTCAATATTTTTCAGTTCAGTTCATCTTTAACACTTTTATATCAATCATCAAAAGGCGCTGGTTTCAATTCTTCCATCTACACACACAGCCTTAGTCTCTCAATGCAAAACGGAGGTATAGAAATAAAAATGAACAAAAACAGATTACATCCTCACAGGAAAGACAGTAGAGCCCGACCGATAAAGGATTTTGAAGGCCGATACCGATACAAATATTTTTGGGTTTTAAAATCCGATATTCCGATATATCGGCCGATATTTTTTTGTATTAAATATTGTTGGATTTCACACACGTGTAAAAGAAACGCTAACTTTTCTGCACAAGATACATTTGATACTTTTTCTCTATGTCTAAATGTTCACTCCTCGCAAGTCTAACTTACATTTTACAATGCAGGGACTGTAACTAGAGATATGCTAGTTATAAATACAGTAATAATTACTTTATTTAGGCAGAAAAAGTTCATTGTGGTTTCCAAGCTCATTAATGTTAACGTTAGCGGTCTTCCACTGATGATAGTGGCATTAGCTAGCTTTCCCAGCGGGCACCTTGACGTCAATTTGACATCAACAAATAGTCAAGATTTTGACCACCATGTATAACATGCATGAATATGAATATTTTCATTATATTTTGTAATTATTACCTTGTGGTTGTAAAGAGGCCAAACAAAGGTATCAATCTGACATGTTTTTTCTTGTCCCTACATCTCAGGTCAATATCATTGACATTAAATCGATGTTGATTTGATGTCAGGAATTAAAACGTCAATTTGATGTGAAATGTATATCAAAACGATGTCTGAAAAAGTATATTTATTACTCACTGTAAATCAATGCGACTAGTTTTCAACATCTAAAAGACCGATCTTGAAAGTTGTAGGTCTATGTATTTTGCATATTTATTTTATTTAAATCCTAGCTAGTTTAATTCAGTTCTTGGTTAAAATGACAGCAGACACTATAATTGCATATACTATAAAAGGTAAATTTAATCTGACATTGAAGCTGATTTTGAAAATGATCATCATCGACTACAAATTGACTACAAAAAGACGTCACATCCTGGTCATATCGCGCGGAAAAGTAGAAGATTTGCATAACCGCCCTCACTCACACGTCTGCTCACTGCCAGAGAGATCGTCGATTTCAATTTTAAAAAATACTCCTCTTTCAACTCTTGGTAAGTAACCAGCTAGCATGCTATTGTTGTTATTATGAATACACCATCTTATACATAGGCTACTTAATCTGATTGGGTGTAATTGTCAGAAATATGTCGAATAATTCCACAGCCTTGCCCTTTACCTGAGCGAGTTAGCTTGCTAATTTAACCGGAGATTAGTTTAACTGTAACGTTGACATTCTGGTATTATGGAAGAAGTGTCTTCCTGTCTGCCATCGTATGATTTTAAAAGTGTGTGTGTGTGTGTGTGTGTGTGTGTGTGTGTGTGTGTGTGCGCGCGTGTGCGTGTGTGTGGAAAAATGTCGATTTTACTGGTTTTCTGGGGCCAAACCGACCGGCGACGATATTTACTGTCGATTCGAATTTGTTGGTTTAAAAGTGGACATTTCAAGCTTTAGCCCGTTACAAGGCTAACGTTAGAGTTGACAAACTAACAATGATTGTAAAATGATATCCTAAGCATGTGAAATGTTTTAATTTTTTTTCCAGCGTAACTTAACGTTACCAGCCCCAGATCTGTCACAGATTTGAATAAGAGGTAAGTTGCAATGGTAGTATCCATATAACGTTACTGTCCTAAAAATATTCCTTTCCCAATGTAAGAGAAAAGTAAGTGTGTTCTTCTAAACAAAAAATAGCTGCTGCATTGAATTTTTTTTAATGCAATTTTTTTTGTTAGAATATGATGTCATATTGCTGTCTTTGGTCTGACATTCAGAGTTCCAAAAACAACTCCGCTTCAACAGCTTAACAGACAGCTAACCAGCGAGGAAAAACTAAAACTCATGGTAGGTTACTATGAAAAAGTAAAACAAACATTTGCTAACAGATGCAATTATTACACATACAATATCTTATTTACATATTCTTGTTCCTCATATACATTTCTGCATATTTGCTAAATTATTCCTTCAGACAGCTCCGATGTCAAATTGGTGCAGCTACCCTGTGGGAAAATGTCAACATTGTGATGAAAAGGTCAGTCTCTGAAGTTGTGCGGTTAATATCTTAAAATGTATTTAATACTCTTAAATGAATACGCCCAGATCTGCGGATTGAAGATGAAGAACACGCTGAATCTGATTATAACAAGACCGAAGCGAACACGAATTTGTGTGGTTTACACTTAATCACAAATATTTAGGGGGACGAGGCAGAAGTTTAGGGGAATTTGATTATACTATTTCAGATAGCCTGTTGGGCAGGACAGTTATGTATTTTGGTAGCCCTACTGAAAACACAATAGCCTGGGACGTCTGGCTAGCGATTTTGTGAGCCCTGACATTATTTCACATTTCTTCCTGTACAGCATGTATAACTTTTTTTATTCACATTTTTATTTACAGAGTGCTCACAAATAGCCTCATGTCTATACTGAACATGGATGGGACTGGTGACAAGCTGCCTTTCAGAAGAATTGAACTTTATAAGGTCGCAATAGGTAATTATATTTTCTATTTGTGCACCTACACCACCTATAGCTCTATTCTCTACATGATTTTTATTTTGATCAGTATGTGCAAGATAAATGGCAATTGCTGTTACATTTTTTCAGGTGCCATCCAGAAGTAACAACCCGGCATCACAGAAGCTTCCATTGGTAGCCTTACGGCCAACCATTTGCTCGCTGCACCGGACAGAAGAGGGGGCACTGGGCACCGGAAGGTAGGAGCTGCTGCAAACAATGTAGATTAGGCCCAATTCCATTTCTCTGTTTTTACCCTTCCCCTTCATTTTACCCCTACACCGTGTCCTTCGAAACAGGATGGAAAGATATAGGGGGAAAAATATTCTCCATGGAAAAAAAAAGACACCAATCGCATACATAGGGAAGAGCCTGGACGAATGTGATGTTTTGAAATCACTGCTGTCTGGCTTTGAATGAATGTTCACATTCTACAATTCGAATGTGGACTGATGACTAGCAGTGAAATGAGATCCTGACATATGACACTGTTAACACAAATTAACCAAAAATTGACTCGATCCATTATCATATATTACTACTAGGGCTGTCAAATGATTAATCACATCCAAAATAAAAGTTTGTTTACATAATACATGTGGGTGCACTGTGTATAATTATTTTGTGTATATATATCACACACATGCATGTATATTTAATAAAAAAATGTTATTTATAAATAATTTAAATTATATATAAATCTATATACAGCATAAACATGAAAATATTTCTTAAATATATACAAGCATGTGTGTGTATATATATATATAATTATACACAGTGCAATCACATATTATGTAAACAAAAAAACAAAAGCTTTTATTTTGGATGTGATTGATTAATCATTTGAAAGCCCTAATTAGTGCACATCTGACAACTGCATGTGATTAGGCTATAATGTGGATTATCTTTTAGTTTTCTATATACTGTAGAGTAGCCTACTACTGATGGGTACTAAGCATTTGTTATGTTAATGGACAGGCCCCATTTTAATGTTTGCTTTCTTGTTTTCTTGTTCTCTTGTTCCCTTTTACAGGCATTTGAGAGCCCTTGAGTGAACCCATAGCCCCCCCACTGCATTACACTGCTCAAAAAAATAAAATAAACATATCAGATCTCAAAGTATGTGTATGTTGTCAGTCATTGTACATTTAGGTTGGAATTGAGTGATGCTTAGCATTGAAATGATATCAAAATATGTCAATAATTTTATGTAATTTTGACATCAATGTTTGATGTCACATTTATGTTGAATTGATATCAAAGCTTGATATTGTATGATATCAAAATAGCATTAAAATGACGTCAACATGATGACATCTTGACGTCAAATAAATGTTGAATTGGCATCAAATGCATACAAAGCATGATCAAAATAACATCAAAATGACATCGGCAGAGGTCAAAATCTTGACATCAAATTGACGTTGTCACTTTGACGTCAAATTGACTTTCATTTTTGACCTATTTTGTGACGTAATTTTGACATCAATGTTTGATGTCATTTTGATGTTAAATTGACATCAAATGCCCACTGGGTTGTGGTTAGCTAGTCTATGATGAGCCATAATTTAGCAATAGATGACATCATACTGCAAATTGTAAAACATGCATTTTCAATATAACAGGCCAAGGAGAGATGATTAAAGCGTGATTCGTCCGTTTTTATTTTATTTATTATTATTATTTTTTTTTAAATATTCATTTATCGGCCATTATAACCGCCAATACCGATATTATGGAAAATGCCTAATATCGGCTGATATATCGGTCTGGCTCTAAAAGAGAGAGAGAAAAAAACTGACAATATCAGCGAGTGAGCATGACAAAAAATAAAATCAAGGCGGTTTATTAATATAACACATATGTTTAATGTTTACCATGCTAATACAGCTACTTGAATCTGTAGCATCTTAAATGCCACTTTGATCAAATGCTTCATTCACAAAACCTCAATTAAAATAGTTTTTCACGCTTGAAATGTTCAAAACACATTATATTCCCCATATTGCGGCTCCTCTATTCCTAGTCTGTCAGTAACGCTCTGTTTAGTTCCTGTCTCCCTCTGAAAAGCATAATGTGCTCTGATTGGTCGGCTGGACCAGTGTGTTGTGATTGGTCAAGATATAAACTTGCAATTTTGACTTAATAACACGCAATTGCGAGTTTATATCTCACAATTCTGACATCTTTTCTCAGAATTGTTGGGATAAACTCGCAACTGCAAGTAATAAAGTCCAATTCTATGGGAAAAAAGTGATTTTTTTTTCTCAGAATTGCTAATTTGCATCTCACAATTCTGACTCTATAACACACAATTGCAACTTTATAAATCACACAATTCTGACATAAATATTCAGAATTGTGAGATGTAAACAGAAAGCATGTTTAGGACAGTGATTATTGCAGCATTTGTAAAACAGCTCATGAATGCTGTTAGTCGTGTTGCTACTTTTACTCAGGCCACACCCACACGAAGCCGGTGCGTTCCCTATCCGATTTTTTTCCTCATTCTAAAAAAAAATCCGTAAACACAGCGTTCTCTCAAGAAATATCTGCGTACACACGAAACCACTGAAACTGACTGAAAACGGTGTAGTGTATATGCCAGACCAGTATGGGGCGCTGTAATTCTGCCACATAGATACACGGAGAAGAAGACTTTGAGCATGCGCATAACCTTGTGCGCTGCATACGAACCAAGAAGAAGACGACAAAGATGCCGTGTGACGCAGCCGACACATGATGTGATGACATCATCGTTTCACACAATATACCGACTGGCTGTACACACGAAACCGCAAGGATGTCGTTTTCAGATTTATCCACTTTGGGACCCGGTTTCAAAAAATAGCGGTTCCCAAAACGCCGGATCCGTGTGGACGAAACGCCAATACGATAAAAAAAAAATACGTATACGTACACAGCGAAATGCGTCTTCGTGTGGACGGGCCCTCAGTCGCTCCTAAAGACTGACTTCAGCACAAACACACACACACACACACTGGGGAATAACATTCACCAGCCTCCGGTCACTGTGCAGCCAACGGATGCGAAATATTGTGACATTAGTGCTTAACAGCAAAGTCACAATTATTCATTGTGAAATGTAGGCTACACTGCAAAAAAACAACAACACTGCAACTGAGAAAACCTCAGTGTTCATGACGGTTGAATCACAGCCTTCATTCGACGATGTCACGACCCAGATAGCACACAAACGTCTGCAAAATCACTTCATCTGGAAATCGTCTGCTGTTTACTAACGTCTGACGGACATCTTTAAGATGTCAGTTTAACATATTACATCTTAAAGACATCTTATAAACGTCTATTTGACATCTGACAGGAAACGTCCTATAGACGTATTGCAGATGAGCGAACGCTCTAAAAAATACGTCTTCCAGATGTAAACACACATAAACACATCAAATAGACGTCTCTGTGATGTACGTGTGCTATCAGGGGGACGACTACCTAGCACACGTACACCACGGAGACGTATATTTGATGTGTGTGTGTTTACATCTGGATGTATGTTTTTTAGAGTGTTTGCTCATCTACAATACGTCTATTGGACGCTTTCCAGATGAAGTGATCTTTAAAGGTGCTCTAAGCGATGTCAGGTGACGTGACGTTTAAAGTATTTTCAAACAAAACGGAGGCTAGATGGACCCTCCCTCCTCCTCATCTGAGCTTGTTTCTTAGATTAATAATAAATTAGCTTTAGTGTGTGTGGGATGCCACACGAGTTTATCTTCCCTAAATCAGGTTATTACAGTAATAAAGCTGAAGATAACAGCTGTACGGGTTCATAAAGTCTCGATGGACGGCTACTGTTTATTAAAATCCAATACACAGCTGATCTTCTCTCAAATTCATCTAGATTACAGGGTTTCACACTTCTAATGCGCCTCTTAAATGAAGATAAACACTATAATTACACCATAACCTTAAAAAAAAACGATCTTAACACATATATTGGCTTTTTTTTTTCGATTTAAAGGGGTCATGAGAATCTAACCAGCTGTGATCTGTATATACCATTAAAACATCCTGCAAGTTTCATCCATAAAAACGTCCTTCTCGTAATAATAAACAAAGGATTTATTTAATCAATCTCCAAAAACAGCTCGTTTTGATATTGACCTGACGTCATAGGCAAACACATTTGCATAAGCCCGCCTCCAGAACAAGACAGACATCGACGAATAGTTATAGATCACGACTAGCATTTTGTTTTGTAAACGGGGCACGAGTCGTAAAGAAACTTTTGATGAAATCAGCGACTGAATTGAATCTGACAAGTAAATTATTTCATAACGCTTTATCGGTAAATTACGGTTTTATATGAATAATAGTAAAACACTTAGATTTTTTTTTAGATCAAAAATACAGTAATATTGTGAAATATGTTGCTATTTAAAATGACTGTTTTCTATGTGAATATCTAGTAAAGTGTAGGTTTATTGTGGTCTGTGATCAAAGATGAATTCATTACAGCACTCTTCAGAGTCACATGATCTAGTGCTGTCAAACGATTAATCGCATCCAAAATAAAAGTTTGTGTTTACATATTATATGTGGGTGCACTCTATAATTATTTTATATATATATATATATATATAAATATATAAATTAAATGCACACACATGCATGTATATTTAAGAAAAAAATATTATTTATATAAAATATTTATATTTATATATAATATAAATTAAATATAAATCTATATACAGTATACACATAAAATTATTTCTTAAATTTATACAAGCATGTGTGTGTATTTATATATAAAAAATAATTATACACAGTGCACCCACATATATTATGTAAACACAAACTTTTATTTTGGATGCGATTAATCGCGATTAACCGTTTGACAGCCCTAACATGACCCTTCAGAAATCACTCTAATATAATGATCTGCTGCTCAAGACACATTTATGATTACAGTATTATCAATGTAATATATATATATATATATATATATATATATATATATGAAGAGTTCAGATGCAAAAGCCTCTAAATGCCATTTGAAATTTTCTTCTTTAATGATGATTTTTACATT